TTAAGGCAGCAAAGAGGTAATCCACCAGGTATTGCCGAAGGGGTCCTGTACACCACAAGCCCTGCCATAGTCACGGTCGGCAGGCTCCATAACATTGACTGCGCCGTTTTGCAAGGCCAGTTTATAAGTCTCGTCTGCATTATCGACGTAGATAAAAAGATGGGCGGTCTGTGGTGTCCATTGTGCGGTTGCTCCGCTAAACATAATAGTACTATCGCCGATCTTTATTTCAGCATGCATCACCGCCGATTGTTCTGTTCTTTCTGTCAGATGCACAACTGCGGCATTAAATACTTGTTGGGTAAAGCCGATAAACTGTTCTGCGCCTTCCAGCATCAGGTAAGGCATTACTGTCTGGTGATTTTTTGGTAATTCCATGATCGTATTTGTTTTAGTTCCTCAAAGGTCGCTGCCGTAAACAGCGCAAAATTGGAAAAACGCGACATCCTAATCTTTCCACGTCGTGCCCTCCGCATTGCCTGAAAAATAATGCCGGGGATGATGTCCTGAAAACGCTTTGAAGTCATGTATAAAATGAGACTGATCGTAATAGCCGCAATGATAGGCCAGCGCGGTCAGCGACTGAACCGGGCGGTCATAGTGCTGCAATGCGGCCTGGAACCGGGCAATTCTGGAGAACCGTTTGGGGCTAAAGCCGGTACCTGCCCTGAAGTTTCGCTCAAACTGTCTCTGGGAAAGGAAATGTTTTTGGGAAAGTGCTTTCACGCTATGCTGTCCACGGGTGTCAATAATGAAATTGATTGTCTCAGACATACCAGGTTGCTGCGTAGGCATCTGGATCAGTCGTTGCCGGAGAAAATCAATAATGATCTTTACCCGTTGGTGATTATCCGCAGCCAGCATCATCTGGTCTTCAAGCCGGGCATTTTCTTTGCCAGGCAGCAACGACAGGTCAATCAGTTGGTTGCTGAGTTCGGTGGCAGGCAATCCCAGTAAGGCCGGAATGGCATGGGGATAAAGATAAACCCCAAAAATGCCGAAATGCCGGGTGACGGCAAACCGCTGGAAGGTATCTGATTGACCATGTAAACCCGAAGTAAAGGACGTCTCATTGGTTCGCAGATATGTAAAGCAACCTTTATAATGAAAGATCAGTTCCGGGCAAACATCTGC